GTTATTAGCTGAATCACATGGTGTTACTATCAGCAAACATACTTTAATTTGTTGGGATCCGTTTTTGAGTGCGCGGTCCTGCGCCATATGCTTCCAGGTAACAAGAAAGCGACCTCATTCACGTATATTTTTGATTGGCAGAGCTAACTCAAAATTTTGAGAAAAGTAACTCGAAATTTCGAGTTATATTTCTCGAAATTTTGAGATAATAACTCGAAATTTCGAGTTATGGATACTAGCTTTTTTTTTTTTTAGTGGCGGAAACGGGCTTCCATACTATCATGGGGTGCCATCTAAGACAGTAGAAAGCAAGGGACTGTCAAAAAACATATGATGCATTGTCAGTGGTGGACAACTCCAGGCCTCGAGGGCCAGTATCCTGCAGGTTTTAGATATCACCCTGTGTCAACACACCTGAATCACCTGATTAGTTCATTACCAGGCCTCCAGAGAACTTCAAGACCTGTTGAGGAGGTAATTTAGCCATTTGAATCAGCTGTCTTGGATCAAGGACACATCTAGAGAATGCCAATGGTAGCTAGCAACCTAGCTAATTGTAGCATTTTTCTTTAATGTTAGTTATATCTTGTAGAGTCTTCTTCATTGTAGGATGAACTATTTTAATGTTCTCTTTTGAATCTAAGAGGAGTTGAAAATGTTAGCCAAATACAGCAGCTAGCTTGACTACTACAGTCGGCTAATGTGGTTATTGTGTATGCTAATCCTGCAACAGTACTACAAGAATGTGTACTAGCGTCTGGAAAGAAACCACAATAGTAACTAACTTTGCTTTTTATACCACTTACAGTTAAATGAATAGCTCACATTTTGGGAAATATCTTAAGAGTTAAAGATGTCATGTATCCCAGACAGCTTAGTGTTCCCCCAACCCCCGAAAAAACAGATAAAATCTATTGTTTTAATGAAACACAACATCTTCATTTCTTAATAAGTGACCTTTATTTTCATTACTGATAACCTGACAATTATTTTCATGACTAATCGATCAGCAGTTTTTTCAACATAATATCAACACAGAAAAATGGCTGTCAAAAGACTGAGGTATTTTTTTTTCCTTTTGCCTTACTACAGTTGACCAAATATTTACCATCATACATGAGAAAGAAAGAGTAAAATCTTCACACTGGGAAAGCAAAAACTGGCAAAGGTTTTGCATTTTTGCATAAAAAGGAGAAAACAAATATTTTATTATCAAATTATTTGCCACTTAGCCATCCCCCACATTGGGCCAGCTACAGGTGGTCACCTCTCGACAAGAAATATTTCCCAAAATATCAGACTAGTCCATCAAATCACAGAATGCTGAGCTACAAATGAAATCAGATTAAAAACCCAAACTAGATAAGGGAATTCAGATTTTGTTTCTTTTGTCAATTGGTGATTGGCTCCAGTGGGAGATAAGTAAAAGGAAGGTATCCATTCTAACAAAAGGATCAACAATTAAGGTAGCAGATGAAGGAAATGTGAGCCATATTAAAAACAAAGTTGGGATCACTTCATGGTTATAGAGCACAAAAGACTCAATAGTTGATCTCATTGTTGCAAATGTACCAAATGTACAAACACAACGAAGAGGAAGAAACAAGCTGTGGAAACACATTCATATGTCTAGATCTGCTGGTTGCATTCATAACACAAAGAAACTGTCAAAGAGGCCAAAAATAAAAATAAAAGTGGAAGTCAAGAGTAAAATATTTAGCTGCAGGCCTTAGTAAAACTATCTCAAACTCTTTGGCATGTACAATCAGCAAAATTTACATGTTATGATTTCACTCATTTCTCAACAATATAAAAATTGAAATAGAAAAACAAAATGTATCAAATTTCACGTGTCCTACAGATTTTTTATGTTACAATAAAATGTTAACATCAAAGGGTTTTTTTTGTTGCATTTTGTTATTTTTGCCAAAAAGGTTACACATCAATGCTACAAAAATCTAAGTCTTTATTTTTGTCTTGATTTTTGTACAACACATCCTTTCTGTACAGGATAATCTTTTTTTGTCTTCTTTATTTCCTATTACAACACTCATACATCCTAATTACACACAGATCCCAAGCAGAAAAATAATTGTTTAGGTACCATTTTTATGGGAGACTGGGGTTTTATTTTTATTGTCTTTGAGCCCCTTAATTTCATCATCACATAAAGTCATTTAGCTCTGCCTCCAAGGCGGCGGCCATCTCATCTTCCTCCGAGTTACTGCCTTCTTCCTCGTTAGAGTCTTTGGAAGATTCATCGACAAACTTCTCCTCTTCTTTCTTGTCTTCTGTGTTGTTGCTGTCGACATTATCTTCCTCCTTATCTTCCTCGTGCTTACGTTTCTGGCCCCTAAAGAAATGACACAGGATTATTTATGAGAACTTATAAAGCCTGATATTTATGAGATCCTGGGGAATATTTTCAGTTCGCACTATTAAAACATTCAATAAGATTTAAAGGTGCTTAATTTTGTTAAGTTTGTCAGAACAATGCTAGTATTTTACCTATTTCCTGCCTTTGTTCTAGGCTAGTTAGCTGTGAGCTGTGGCTTCATACTTTGCAAAAACACATGAAAGCGATGTCACTTAGCAAAAAAAGAGCATTTAATTAAAAAAAAAAACAACAACTTTGAAACATGAACGGAAAAAGTGCCTGCTTTTAAATGCTTAGCCGACTATCCAAATAATCTTTAGTTTCAGTCCTATTTTGAATATAGTCATCTCTTCCAAGATGAAAATGACAGCTGGATAAACAGATTTAATCTCTTTCAACATGTTCAAAACATGAAAGAATGACATTCTCCCATCTATTAAACTGCTAGGATCTTCTCAGTCCCCATATCGCACCTATTCCCCTCTACAGCAGATTATGGACTAATTTCTTGGACATCATGAATAACCATCACCCTAGTTTACATTAATCTGCATATCTTCATACCAAAATGAGCCTAATGAGTATGTGCAGATTAATGTATCAATTAATAAATGTCACATTTGCTACTATGGGTAGTCCACCCCACGACAAATGCTATGATTTGCTCGTGATACCAGTCCTCATTTAGCCCGATAATCTGTTTTTAGTCTACAAATCTCACACCCATCACTAGACAGTTGTTAAATTCATATATCTTATGCACAGCCTTGTCAATAGAAACTAAAACATACAGTGAATCCACCTTAAATGTTCTATACTGATGGTATATTTGAAGCATCTGAGTAGGTATTGTTGAAGCTGGAGGAAAGCACACATAGCTGAAGAATTCTTTGATATTACTGTGAACATGCCATCCCTCTTTTCACTCCACTCCAGTTTCTCCATGGCATCCTCAGTAGAATGGCTTATTAGCATGATGCTAATGAGGTGTGTAGGTGTTTTGTATGGTCATTGAGAAGGTCTGACACCGGCTCTGACAAGAGGACCCATCTCATTAGACCGCACTGTGTCAGACAGCCTCGCTAGCCTCCCACGGCAGTGGGGATCTGCCTTTGTGTTCATTAAAGGTCAGATGTCGGCTTACATCTGTGGAGAGGTTTCGTGACATGACGGTTTACAGCGGACCCCTGCAGACGGTGTCTGTGAGCAAAAGGGCTGCGCTTGTGTTACAACAAACGAGCTCAGAACCCCTGAACTAACAAGAAGTTTAATCTCCAGAGCCAGAAGTTGGAACCTCAGCGGTGAGAGGGTAATGTGAGGCTGAGCTGTGAGGGCAAGAGTGGATATGAGGAACTAATTATTATTTATCTGGAGACAACGGAGAAGAAAAGCCAATCCATCAATGTACTGTATCACGCTGCCTGAGCACGCCCATCACGCTATATGGGCCCGTTTATCAGGATGTGTGTATCACATGAATATTTCCATACCCACATCCTACCATTCTTTCCAAATATTAACAATGGGGACAGCAGGGGGCGGGAGGGGAATGGCTTCCCCCATTGCTTTCTGCTCTGCATCATTACATCCAATCTAAATCCTCAGCTATTAATCCAACCACCCACAGACACACACGCTACTTACTCCCACGAAACTCATTCAAGTCACCTCCCAAGCAGGCTTCAGCAGCTATCCATTTTAAAAAATCTTTTTCACCTTCTGTTAAATGACATGGCTACAAAGGGAGAAGCTGCCGTTCACTAGTTTATTTACTAGTTAGTAACAGGCTGCAGAATAAGCCATCTACAGCTTCTTTCTTTCATTTAGATATTAAACGGTCATAGCTGAGGGTGTACAGTCCTGGTGCATGTACACCCTCTCTCTGCTCTGGATCAGGATGTAATAGAAATAAGCTAGTCCTTATTAGATATCAGCAATAACCTTAAAGAAGCTGCTGCCTGCTATGCATAGGTTATATGACCATTTCCAAACAAATCCACAGTTAAAGATTATTCACGCATATAAAACGTTCAAGACATTTGCCAGTTTTCCCAGGAGTGGACGTCCCAGCAAGTTTCTCCCCCACAGTCAGATCATTCAAAGCATGGGAAGCGCTACTAAACGACACCTGTGGTGGGGGGTGCTGGTGTCAGCGGAGCAGTCAAAAAACGGCAACAGAGTTCATTTTTATTGGGTTCACTGGTCTGATTCAAGTTTTGTAGGAGAGGACAGCAAAAAATGAAAAAGTTCAGAAGCAGTAGGTAGTCTTCTACCCAACAGACTGTATATAAAAAGTCAAGACACCATAACAATGGCTGATCTCGATTTTAAAGCCTTAAGCACTTAGACCATGACCATCTTATTGTTTGAAAACAGGTATGTTGAGCCAGGAGAGGATCTGAAGATGAAATAGAAGAAACTGAACAGATGAAATGAGCAAATGAGACTGCAGAGTCATCAGCAAACAGTTCATAGAGCAGAGGAGCCAAAGGTCATTCACCTGTAGACTCTTTACAATGAAACTTCTTTTTGCAAATACAAAATTTGCCCCCTGCTGGCCATCATACAGAATGCAGGTTTAAGGCCCCGACCTCTAGGTTCACTGGGTTTCACTTTTATTCAGTCAGCACATTCACCAAGAGACATGCATGCTGTGGACTTTGTGCACAACTGGGGGTTTGTGTATATGGATACTGAGCAACATGGACATAAATATTTATTATTAGCCTTCAAGCGGGAGTAGAAATTGATTTATAAATAAAGTATAGGGTTGTCAACAAAACAAAACAGACTCTTTTTATTTTTGTTTTGATGGCTATACAAGATGACCAAACTGAAAAACCCCAACCCCCAAACAACAACAAAAAAAAAACAAAAACACGAGGGATTAAAGCTGGAAGTGTTCACAATCTGCATATCATATTATTTTTAATAAGAAATGTCAAAATTACTTGCAGCTGCCAGTGCTACGCCTCGGTCTCCTAGTAGATATACCTATGGTATGAATTTGAAAATCCTACCTGACAATTTTGTTTAGTTATTGCATTCACAAGACTTTTAAAACACTTGATCTCTGATCTTGGAGTCAAAGTCACTGGGATTTAAACTTGTGTGAGATTTTTAATAGCAGATACATGTGTGCCATGAATGTGACAATCTTGCATCACCTTGCTGGAAAGTTACTGTATTCACAAACTTGGGTATCTATGCTGCCAGGGGGTGATGACAGTACCCTATCAGTCTTTTTGAATGATAAAACTATACAGAAGCTCAAAAATATGATGGATTTATGATCTAATCCAGCTTGCTTCATGTAACACTCACAGAGTTTAGACACATTCGTTACATGGAGTACTATAAAGCAATCATTACTAACTCACGTATGCAAAGCCCTGAGGGGTTTTGGTGAATGTGCTCCTCAGACTCTCAGTAAAGTCCAATATTTCACTCTCTCTTAAATGAACACAGTTCCATCGTTTTAAATGGCTCCACAGGAAACCCTAGAGCTGAGTCAGATACTAAAGGGGAGGAAACAAACCAAATGGGGACAGATGAAAGTGAAAAAGGCAGCCTGCTCCCTAGACAAAATAAAAAGATAAGACTGCTCGGTAATATAAAGCTTCCTCATTATTTTCAGTTGTATAACTGATACAGTGCAAGTGTTGAGATAATAGGATCTCTTAATGCACTTCTTTCATTTAAATTTCCTCATTACTGGATCTCTTATTGGCCAGTAAATTTGACGCTGTAGCTGTGAAGGCCAATCTGCCATAAAAACTTCAGGAGGAAGTTGCTAACAATGTACTTTAAAGTGTTAGCGAGGTACTTTTGACTTCTTTTTCAGCATGAGAGGATTTACCACTGTACACAAATGCTGGCTTGTCAAATAGCTGCAAATTATCAACAGCTAAATGAATTGGGCCCTAAGCCCAGAGAGTGTGCTTGAAATCAAACTGCTGTTGATAGCACAAGAAGTAGAATGGGGCTGACCTTCCAGGTGGTAATCCGCAGGCACAGTTCCTGCTAGTTATGAAAAAGAACTCAATTTTGTGTATCTAGCACCAGCTCACAACAACAGTCAGGGTGCTTTAGATCAGCGGTCCCCAACCCATGGACCGGTACCGGTCCGTGAGTCGTTTGGTACCGGGCCGCGAGAGTTGAGGCTTGGGTGTATGGTTTTCAGCGGTATTTTTGATCGTTTTTATTGTTAACTCAGTTTCCCTGGGTCTTTTCCCTTGTGTTATGAATAAATCTTCTTTTTTTGGTACCGGTACTGGTTTGATTTTAGTTGTATTTATTCGCAACACCTTAAAGGCCAGTCTGTGAAAATAGTGTCGGTCCATGGCGCAAAAGGTTGGGGACCGCTACTTTAGATGTTAAGGTAGAAACCCTACAACACTGGAGCATTTGGCGATTTGGGACAATGAACTCCCTTTAAAGCCAAAGCACCAGACTCAGGCAGGAACAGTCATCAGTTGTGACTGGCTGGTGGAACAAGAAGAAAGAGCCAATAAAAAAACAGAACACAAGGAAACCATGGAAACCAGAGCAAAACACCACGTCCACTAGCACCTGATCCAGCTGTAATTAAGTTTTACCAAAAAGGACAATTTGAAGCCTAGTCTTAGAGGATGTCCGAGTCCTGAACCCCAACAGAAGCTTATTCCCCAGGAGAGAGTAAATAAAGTCAAACACAATTCTGAAGCCAATGAAGAGAAGCCAGTTGGGCTGGTATTACCCAAATGATAAAAGGCATTGCTAAAGATTTATTATATTATATTATATAAGAGGATTAAAGATATATCCCAGTAAAAACCAATGTAAAAAAGCATGTGGTTGTACAATGTGTTTCTGAGAACTATGCAACTGTTTGGAATTCTCACATTCATGCCTTCCAGATGGTTTTGGAAATTAAAATGATATTGTGTTCCTCAAAAAAATACCAGAAACGTCAGTTATGAGGGTGCAAAAGGCGA